TCAATTAGTTATATAACCTTTTTTGTATATTAATCAATATGAACATGAATATTCCAATTATTTCCATGCAATCCAATTTCTTACAAATCAATTAATTATATTTACCAATAATAATAAACCAAATAATTTCCCCCATATATTCCTCCAAACCACAACTTAACCATTTCTGCTTTCAACACAATATACAATTAATAGTATCTCAATTATTACAATTCCCTAGTTAAATAGAGCTTTTTTTTCTTTTGTGTTTTAAAATCTTTCCCTAAATTTCCCATTGTTTGTACCTACTTTTTTTGGTGAGGAAAAAGAAAAGAATTCTGCCTGCCTAATTTTCCAACCTTGCAGCAACAGCAAAGCTGTTTCAGTTTCGTTTCTCATCATAGTTAGGGGGAAAAAAATTGCTTCAGCACTCTTTGCACGGAAGCAGAAGAGCCCTGAGCAAAACAGCCGAGACAAATCAGCTGAGAGCCGGGAGGCCAATTAGCCTCTGCTGAAGCTCCGGGGGCCAATAAAATTACAAAAAAAACACCGAACCCTTTGTTAAATTGCTGGCTCCCCCGCCCCTCGCCCACCACTATTTATTGGCAATAAATAGTGGTGCGGAGGGGCGGGGCAAGCCAGCAGTTTAACAAAGGGTTCGGCTGCACCACTGGCTCTAGGGTGGCCCTTTGAAGCCCCGCGGCAAAAATTTGAAGTTTTTTTTCCCTCTAGCCATCGGAGGCAGCAATAGATTGGGAGTGGGCAGGGTAAGCGAACGGCCGGGGATCCAACAGAGCACAGAGTGAGGGTGAGCGAAGGCGTGGAAGCTGCTTTCTCCATTCTGCTCTCTTGCATCTGGAGCCGGTGGGGAACCACGTGGCAGCCCACGTGGATCCCCGGCAGCAGAACTCAGGCTAGGGAAGGGGTGGGCAATTGTGGCTCTTTTACAACCTGTGGCCTTGGCTGTCTCAGGAATTCTGGGAGTTGAAATCCACAGGTTGTAAAAGAGCCACAATTGCCTACCCCTGGCTACGGTAGGCTGGCGCCGTGCGGGTGGGAGGCGAGGGGCGGGCCAGCCAGCAATTTAACAAAGGGTTCGGCCGAGCCACCTAAAACCCCCAGAATCCCAGCACTGTGTAGGCCCCTCTTGATCTTGAGGCCCTAGGCTGAAGCCTAGTTAGCCTATAGGAAAATCCGGCCCTGATGGTGAGGCTTGTCTGCCTTTCAGGCCCTGCTCTGGGCTGCTGCTTGCTCGACCTCCAGTCCGCCTTGAGTCCCGCATCCAGCATGCTGTTTCCAGGCCAGCCCGGCCAATGGATGGGTGAGCAGGGAGCCCTCGGGGCAGGCATTTTCTCTCAGGCCTCCCACCCGGAAGACTCCGTGGAAGCCGAAGCTGAGCCCGAAAGGCGGCTGAACCTTGCTGTGTCCCCACCACCACCAAGGTGGTCCTTTGGCTGAGTTTAGCAAGCCCAGAGTGGATCTTGCTTCCCCGCCATCAGCCTTACCTTCCAGCCCATATGAAAATGGCCTCGTTTTGGGCCTCCCAAACCCTCTGCACATCCCATTTTTGCAAAAAAAGGGCCCGTTTTTGGCAAAAACAAAACACGCAGGGTGAGGTTTTGGGAAGCCAAAAATGGCTGTGTTCAGTGTATAAGACACACCAACATTTCCACCCTCTTCTGGAGGGAAGTGTGTCTTATACTCGGGAAAGTACGTAACGCTGTAAAATATATGAATTGTTTAACTAGGGGCTTTTGCTAGAATTGTCCTTTCTATCTCTGATAACCGTAGGTTTTTAATAGGATTTGTTTATTTACTGGATTTAGAAGACCAGTTTCACAAGAGAACATGAAGGCTACAATATTAAAAAAAAAAAAAGCAAAACAGTAAAAAAGAAAAGAACCATGCATATCCAGCAAATTTGAAATTTTGGAACTGTTTGGGATTAAATTTAATCCACATGGTTTAGCTAGTTAATTTGGTGAATTGAGCCTGTTTGGGTGTTCCCAAGCATGTTAATTCCATCAATGATTTACTAAGTGTACTATGGAAGCAGAACCAGCATGCTAGTTTTGGGGCTAATTTAGCAGGCCTATTCTTACATATTATAGTCTATTTTGAAGCTACTAGCAACGGTTTGCTCCCTCTCTCTTTGAGTCATTCATCATTTATTGAGCAAGTAATATTAAAACAGAGAGCAAAACTTACATTTTCTAAAAAGTAGCTTCTTTACACTCTCTGGAATATTAACAGCCTCTAATAGTCCATTTTATGAGAACAAAAAAAGTAAATCAGGAATAGCCCCTCCATAATGTCTGAAGGTACCAAAGATCTTAAAATAGACAAGCTGTTCTTGGCATAGGAACAATGAGTAATCCAAATAAAATAAACGTTTCAAATTCTTGGAAATCTGATAAGAATATTTCAACAATGATCTATCTCCCACCCAAACTCACATGATGATCTGTAGCCTTTTCTCCTCCACACACCCCGCCCCCCCGGAACCAAGAATATTGTTGAGATAATGATTCATGGTTCAGTGACATGACCCCTCAAATTCTGTATTCTTGGGAGATTACAGATTTAAATGAAATATTCCAAAAGAGACAAAATGACTCACTATGTAAGAATTCTGTTAAAGACAATCTTGCTAAACAATGCCTTTGACTAATGGCATTGTAATAGCAATATTTGAACAGTTGGCAATGATCAGCAAGAAAGTGGTTGAGATGAAATATAATATTTAACTTTAGCTTTAGCTATACTGAAAATTGGGAAATTGGAATGCTCTCCCAAAAGATAAAAATCCAAAAACTGTTTTAAAAATCCCCAAACCATGATTAGAAATCAACATATTCCTGAAGAAAAGCAGAAGAATTTTGTATCTAACAATAACTGTTGTATACTTCTTAAGGCAATTCCTGCATTGAAGGAAAATGGCTTACTACCTAGGAAAGCAAACAAAGGGTTCTGTTAATACTTAAAAATACAACTCCATCCATGTTGCATTAAATGAGGGCTTTTCTGGCAACCTTTGATATTTGCCATACATGTACATTTAAGGAAGAAAATCTTAAGTCATTATGCCAAGTTAAAGTCCAAGTATCAACTTTGAATACTAGCCATAATAAGTCTGGAGTAATAAATACTGAAAGCTATTCAGTCTCCCCCACTTCATCTATGGCCTTGTTGGAGCAATGGTCTTTCTAGAAGCTGAAGAGAGTCTTGCTTGGGTACATATGAATATAATCTGTTTACCGTATTTTTTGGTGTATCAGATGCACCGGAGTATAAGATGCACCTTAATTTTGGGGAAATTAAGAAAACAAAGAATTGTTTCCCGCTTCTGCCTGAAAGTGCTTTTCTTCCTGTTGCACATTCCCGAAGGGGAAGAAAAGCACTTTCAGGCGGCATTGCTGCAATCCCCTCCCCAAATCCAAAACCGTTCCCAGTTCCCCGCTGCACATTGCAGGGGAACTGGCCGCCAGCCACCTGAAACGCGGCTCTGATTATTGCATTGGGGAATCCGGGCAGCGGTGGCTGGAAAGGAGGGGCATTTTTTTTAGGAGCTCCCGTTCAGCTCGCTCGGCTCCTAGGCACAGATGGCTTAGGTGGCAGCTACTCACATTGCAGGGAAGTGAAGTCATTGCGGCCATTGCCTGCCCGAAGCTGCCTGCTGGGCAGCCAGAGGGGTGACCAGCTGCAAATCGTGGCACCTGCCTTGTTCCCTGAAGCTGCCGGGAAGATTCCCACCCCCCCAGACCGTCTCAAAGAGGATTGTTCCTCAGGCTGTGTCCCGAACCAGATCCCTGCCGCCTGGAACTGCCCGAAAATGGCCGAAGGGTGGGGGCCGGCAGGTGGGCGGGGCTACATTCAGTGTATAAGACGCACCCAGATTTTCATCCCCTTTTTGGGGGTAAAAAGGTGCGTCTTATACACTGAAAAATATGGTAATTCTTTTGGTAGGATGTCATAGGAAAAACAAATAAATATTGTAGTAAAGATTAAACAATTCAGACAAGTTATGTATTTAATTCAAAAGATAGCTGAACCTTTGTATAATTGCTTGTCACAGAAATAATCAATTCACAAGCTACTACCAATTAATCATTAGAACATAATATACTTAAAGAGCCTTCCAATAACAGCAAGGACAAAAGCAAGACAGCATGGAGGAAAGCCACAATCACCAAGTAAGAAACATCAAAAAGAGATCCTGATGGAACCCAAAGGCAGTAAGGAAAGGAAAATTATAAAGCATTTGGAAGAAAGAGATATGTAAGAAGCTACAGTGAGATTCCTACTAATTGTATTATAGGCATATATCTGAGAAAACTTACTTCAACCTCTTTGGTGATCACATCTGTGCTACACACAACTCAGGAAAGTTGGGAAGATGAAAATTAATACAGACAATCTCCAAGAATGTAATAACATACTTCAGATAAAGAAATCCCTTCCTACTCAAGCCCTTCTGAAGAGTAATTGCCTCAGGCCCAGTGGATTGTGATGGACCATTACCAGATTTGGAAGAACTACACAAGAAGTGTTATCCAAGAAATTCTTCACTAATGCCTAATAATTGATAGTTGAGGCATTTACAGGAGCTGAATATCTGGTTATGAAATATTGTGAGTTAGCATTCTAAATGTAAATATAATTAATTTTGGGGTTATATTTGTAAATATAACATCATTCTATTACAGGAGACATATTCTACAGAAGATATTGCACTTGCTTATTTTGTAGTACATTCTGTCAAGGTCACTAGATTAAGAAAAGTGGAAGGCCAAGTGGTAGTCTATATATCTATGTTTCAAATAAGATTCTACCAGTGGCAACCAATTTGAAACCCTGTAGTCCATTTTCAATTATTCCTGTTGTTTCATGTGTTCATGCTCTTCTTGTTTCAAAAGAAGAGAATAAATTCTTCAATAGAACCATTAATGCATTGGTATTACGTTTTGGTAACTTGCATATTGTGAGCTGTTAGAGAAATAATTTGTTTTAATTTTGAACAGTCTATCATGTGCCAGAAAGGAGTATATACATGACATCAGAATTCACAAGTGGAACCTGTGAAACCAGCACAGTGGCATCATATATAAAATATCTCTTAGAGAAATTAGAGAGCTTAATTTACAAGCTTAACTGTGAAATCAAGCAATGGAACACCAAGTGTCATACTGCTACAGATACACTGAAAAAAATAACACATGAATTTACCTTTCAGTTCATAGGTAAGGTGAAACTTTTGCTTACTACTTCTGTGTTTGTGTGTGTGTATTATACAATATCCTATAATACCACAAATAGGAAAATATTGAAGATATTATTTCTGTAATACATGTGATAATAGTAATATCATGTGTAATATAAATGTAATAATGAGCCTATTTCAGTATATATGACCATTAAAAAGGTATCAAAAATACATGAGCAACTATTCTCCAAATCAGCCCAGGCAGATCCAGTACTGGCAGGGGTCCAACCATCTGCACAAAATGCTGCTGTATTTCCCAACAAAGGGATATTTATCTATTCGCATATAGCATGCTTTCAAACTGATAGGTGGGCAAAAGCCAAGGCAAATGACCAAAGTTTATTCTGTCACATGATCCTAGGACTCAAACCGTCATCTCCAATGACTAAGCAATTAACCACCACGTCTCTCAGTGCAACTATGAAATCGCCATATAGGTAGTCCTTGACCTAGCACCATTCATTCAGTGACTGCTAGATGTTATAATGGTAATGAGCAAATGGTGGTTATGATTAGTCCACAAAATTCTGGCTGTTCCAGCATCACCACAGTCATGTGATTGCAATCTTGGCAACCACTTCATACTTACAACTGATTGCAGTGCTCTGAGATCATGTTATAGCCATTTGCAATTTTCTCTGCTGTTTTCCCCAGGAAGTCAATAGGGAAGGTGACAGGGAAGGTCACAAATCATTTGATTAAATACCCCCCCCCCAATCAGGAAACACTCTTTGTCCATGTTAAGGATATTCTTGTCTCATAACCGATGTTGTGGGTTATTGAGCAGAGTACCCTTTGAGTTTATTCACAAAAGTGACTGAGAATGATTATGGATCATAACAGTTCACATAGAAACAAACTGGGTTTTGATAATATTTTACTTTTAGGGAAAAAGCAAAATCATAGTCCAGAAACATTCCAAGTCATACACATATAAAGTGAGATAAAGATCAGTCCAGGGATATTTTCCAATATAAAATCTTCTTACCAGTTGTAGAAAAATACAGTAAAACAGATCTTCTTTAGTTTCAGTCAGGAACAAAGTTCAATATAAAAACAGTCAATAAATATTAGAGAAGCAATAAATAGCCATGATCAAGCAATGATTATGCAGAGAGATCAAATATAGAATTACAGCGTATCAGCAGGTAAAATGGTGTAGTGTCCACACAAACCATAATTCAGCTTTCCTTAAATACATTGGCTACAGAGCCCAGCCAATCAGGATGCAGGATGATGCAACACAGTTTTTAAAGCTACAGAATACCTTTAGCTACAAACACACAATGTTTGGTTTATATATTTCCTGACCAACCAGTTGGGTAATAACAATTTCCTAAGAGTCCATCTGCATTTGGGCTGCATCAACCACTTATATACCGTTGCATATCTTCCCCAGCCATAGCTGTGCCTCAATCACATCCTTGCACAATGTGCCCAACCATGGCCTTGCACATCTTTCCTTACCCATGCCATACTTCTCACACATCCCCTCACACTCATTTGCACCTTCTTCAACCCATGTTGCATCTTTCATGCCCCCTTGCATTCTTTTATTTAATTTACAATAAATTCCTCTCCAGCAAAGTCTTTCCTCTCCCACAGTCTTTCGAAATAGTTCACAATTACCGACCTTTATCAGGCTTGGAGAGTGGCCAGGCCAATATCTTTCAGACACCACAAGAATGCAGGAATGAACTAATTGTCTCCTGCAAACACCCCTCCCCTTTTGCTCCTCTTTTATTCCCTATGGGAAGGACTCTTCATCGTCTACCTGTGGCCTTACTCTCAAGTCGACCCTTGTTCCTTAGCTGTTCCCTTCGTCTGGCAACTCTGTGCATGTGCACACTGGAAACAGGCTCCAGCTGTTCGTCTGCCTCACTGATGTCTGACTCCGAAGGCAGCTGATACCTGTCATATGGTCCTGGCCCCCTCTCTGCCTCCGATGCAGAGCACTGGTCAGAGCCTTCCCCAGCCCTCCAGGACTGGCCCATGTATCTCCCCAACCTCCTCACTGTCCGAATCTGCTGCCAGCTCTGTTGGCCACTAGCAGGCCATAACACCCTGATCCTCCCTTGCACGCTCATACAACCTTTTGTGGTAAACTGACAAGAAGTTGCCTCACCTAACAGTTGTGAGATTTGATTAACAACAGCAACCAGGACTACAGGGCTTGCCATCCCTAAGTGATGCTGTCACGCTGTACAACCACATTAGTTAGTGATGGAAATTCTGGTCCCAATTGCCATCATAAATCAAGGAATAACTGTATCTAAAAATAGCACCTTTGTTTATGGTTCAGGGAACATACTATATCCTGAGAGTGCAAAACTATGAGCTTTTGCCACTACCAAAATTCTCTTTCTCCTTGGTAACTCCCCATTTCTCTATTCCTCATAGCCCTCCCAAAAACTGCTATTGCATTGGGTTCTCCAACTGCACAGCTGTGTTGGCTAGAAGGAAAACATTGATTAAATCCTAACTCTTATTTTTATATGCAAGGAAGAGGTAGTTTTTTAAAAAAAATCTTATCTCTAAAATAGATATAGAACTAAATCCTTAATAGATTTAAATTGTGTACTGGTTTTTGTTGTTAATCAATAATTTTAAAAAACAATACCTGAGTAACTAACTTTTAAGTGTATATTTTCATAGATCACCATTGCCACCTGATAATGACCTGGTACTGCAGGCTGATTTTATCTGTGGTAACATTACCGTATTCTGATATATGAAATTATTACATTAAGATGTGATCCAAAATCATCTGCAAAAATTAAAACATAAAATATTCTCTCTTTTTCATTTTTTGCAGTATTTCCTCTTGTACTAGGTACAGGAGATTTTTGTCAAAATTCTCATTGTGAACATTCCAAAAGCAGCATCAGAAAGGTAATGTAGAATTATTCTAAAAGATTTAAAAACTATCATATTTGAAAATAGTATGCTTCAAGACATGACCCTGTCCAAAAAAAAAAAGATAATCATGTAAATCCACAACATCAATACATTTTTCTCAATATTAAGCTATGCTACACCTATCAGACTTTGCTACCTACAGATCTCATCAACTTTTAGTGCAACATTGTTTACAAATTTATAAACCACTTTCTATACTAGAACTTTTGTTTCATTGACGGTTCATAATTTTCTAGAATGGCTGGATAAGCCTGTCTCCCCCTCCCCCCTCCCCCCCCCACACACACCAAGAAAACCTAATATATTCTGAGGATATTGCAACCAGTTAATGGCCAGAATGCAGTTTGCACATGACTAATTTTTGTTTGTATGGAAACTACGATTTATGATGTTAGCTAGCAGAAAGAGTTCTATATATAATCCATTTTGGGAGCCAATTGACAATCAAATATTAATGCTATCATCTTTTTAAATTGTAGGCATACGTCAAAATCAAGCAATTCTTTGAAGTGCTAAACACAGATTCTTTTCCTGGTGATCTTTTAAGTTATGTTCCTGGTACTCTGTCTGGTGTTAAAATAGATCATTGCAAACCAGGATTTGGGAAAAACACAAGTACCATGAACAACAATACAATATGTCCTGGATGCTGTGGTGAGTTTCCAGGGTTTAGAGTAGAATTATAGAGAGAGAAGTATAAAAGAAGGACAGGGAAGGAAAAAGATAACTTGTTAATGGCAAATTAACAACCTCACATCTGTAGTTAATGTCTGGTAGTTGCATTTTGCATCTGGGACTTCAAATACACTGTTTGAACAAAGGCTAGGAAGAGAGCAAAAAGTTTGGCAAGAAAATCTAGCTGCATAGTGCTGATATAAATTACAAGGAGTGACAAGTTGTGTTACAGCATCTCAGTATAATCTTTAGCCTTTGAAATTGCACCCCAAAGCACTTCAATGTTCCCTGTCATGTCTTATCATTTGCCTGGGTTTTTTTGTTTTTTGTTTTGCTTTGCTTTGTTTTGCAGATCCCTATGCCTGCTATTTTTTAAAAAATATTTCTTTAATATATAAAAAAGCAACAAAAAACAACAAAAACATATTGTATATAGAGAAAATCATTTAACTTCATTTGTAAACACATCATTAACTAGACAATAAATTAATGTGTTTACAGTTTTTATTAATCCTTTCATTAAAGCTAGTTCGTGAGCAGAAAACAAGCATATTTTGATCAAATCAAAATACATTCACATCTTTGATTGATGTGCTATATTAACAAGTTATGAATATTAAACCAAAATTATAGTGATATTGAGGCAAACTCATATCATGTATTTCCAATATAATGAGATTGATACAATTATTCCTTGACTAATAACCAACTTAGTCACTGTTCAAAATTACAACAGACCCTCAAATGCAATTGACAACCTGGTTTCAATGTTTTGATGTCACCTCCCACCAGTCTTATGACCACATTTTGAATGCTCAGCAACCGATCCACATTTATGGCCATTTGATGGAGTGGAGTGGAGTGGAGTGGAGTGGAGTGGAATTATTCCTTGACTAATAACCACTTAGTCACATGTTCAAAATTTACAGAGTCAAATGCAATTGAGTGGAGTGGTTTCAAGTTGGATGTCAGTGGAAGTCTTATGGAATGGATGCTCAGAATCCACATTTATGGAATAGAATAGAGTAGAATAGAGTGGAATGGAGTGGAATGAATAGAATAGAATAGAATAGAATAGAATTATTAGCCAAGTGTGATTGGACACATGAGGAATTTGTCTCTGGTACATAAATGCTCAGTATACATACAAGCAACCAGTGGTGGGTTGCTATCAGTTCGCCCTGGATTGGGTGAACTGGTGCTGGTGTCGGGAGGCTCCGCTCATCCGCCCAAACACTTCTGCGCCGAAGCATTGCGTGTGCATGTGAGCATGCGCTCATGAGCGAACCAGTAGCGACGGGTTTTGAAACCCACCCCTGCAAGCTACATGATAAATCGTGGTTATAATTGCACCTTTATAACTGTCTAGTTTGGTTCTGCAACCCAACAAGACAGATACAGACTTCACAGGATAATTAGAACTGCAGAAAAAACAATTGCTACCAACCTGCCTTCTATTGAGGATCTGTATACTGCACTAGTCAAAAAGAGGGCTGTGAAATATTTACAGATCCCTCACACCCTGGACATAAATTGTTTCAATGCTAGAGAGCACTGCACAGCAGAATAACTAGACACAAGAACAGTTTTTTCCCGAACGCCATCACTCTGCTAAACAAATAATTCCCTCAACATTGTCAAACTATTTACTAAGTCTGCACTACTATTAATCTTGTCATTGTTCCTATCACCCATCTCCTCCCACTTATGACTGTATGACTGTTTCCTTGTTGCTGGTATCCTTACAATTTATTGACTGTTTCCTAATATGATTTGATTGCTTATTTGTACCCTATGACTATCATTAAGAGTTGTACCTTATGATTCTTAATGTTATCTTTTCTTTTATGTACACCGAGAGCATATGCACCAAGACAAATTCTTTCTGTGTCCAATCACACTTGACCAATAAAGAATTCTATTCTATTCTATTCTATTCTATTCTATTCTATTCTATTCTATTCTATTCTATTCTATTCTATTCTATTCTAATACAACCATCATAAATCATAAGATACAATACTTAGTGATAGTCATAAGATACTAAATAAAAGCAATCAACATAATCATAAAATACAAACAATAAAGTGATACCGGTAATCATAAGATGCTAAAGGAATAGGTAATAGGAATGATGATAGGGGTAATAGTAAGAGTAATAGTCCTGCAGTCCTGCTACATAGTTTGATATCCTAGGGCATAAAACATTTTTTTTAATTAGTTGTTTAGCAGAGTAATGGCATGGGGGGGGCAACTGTCTCTGTGTCTAGTTGTTTTGGTGTGCAATGCCCTATAACCGTGATTGAGAACCTATGGCACATGTGCCACAGGTGGCATGCGTAGCCATATCGGCGGGCACACCAGCTCAGCTCTGGCATGCATGTGCGCGCTGCCAACTAATTTTCAGGCCTTGTGGGCCCACCAAAAGTAGGGAAACAGTTTCCTGCCTCCGGAGGGCCTGGGTGGGGTGGGGGTGGGGAAGACCCTTTTTTTTTCTCACCTGGCTCCAGATCCTCTCTGTGTATCTGGGGAGGGCAAAAATAGCCCTTCCCACTCCCTCGGAGGCCCTCTGGAGGCCTGAAAGGGTCCATTTCCCAACTCCCGGTGGGACAGGAAGTGACTTTTTTGCTGTCCCCAGCCTCCAGAGACTCCTAGAGAGGCACAAGGCGGAGCGCATAGAATGGGTGTGGGCACGCACACACGCGAACCTCCCCCGCTCCCGGCATGCGATGGCAAAAAGTTAGCCATCACTGCCCTATAACATCATCTTTAGGGAAGAAGTTTAAACAGTTTATATTCAGAATGTGAGGGGTCTGTAGATACTTTCATAGCCCTCTTTCTGGCTCATGCAGTATACATGTCATCAATGGAAGGCAGGTATATAAATTGCTATATTGTATATAATTTGTTATATATTATATAATTTTGCTTTTGTTTTTAATGGAACAGTGACATGTCCACCAGGTAGATTCAGTGCAAAATATGGAACAAATTGTATTTTGTGTCCCGCTGGATCCTATAATGGAAAATACGGCCAGGTAGCTTGTGTAAATTGTCCAAAACACCAAAGCAGTGATGGAAAAGGTGCAGTCACAGAAAAAAAATGTCATAGTAAGTTACCGAATACAATGTGTATGGATTCAACTTCTCTTTATTGGTGAATTATATTGGAAGTATTCAAACAATTGTGCAGCATATTGGAACTCATTACAGATTTTTTAACCAAATACTTAATTCAGCTTTGATTTTCATGTAAGTTGTTTTTCTTACTTTTTATGCATCATCACTAGCATAATATCGAATCTTTCCAGGCATTTGCTAATTTTCCTTGAGGGAGATCAGCAGTCTAGAAACATAAAATATAAGAAATGGTGGAAAATACTTGTAGCATGGGTAGTATATGTTGGTAGTAGTTTTTTCTCTGAGCTTGTTGTTTAGTTTCCAAACATTTCATCACCAGACTAGGTAACATCATCATCAGAAGTTAAGTTGAAGTATCTTGTTTCAGTTCTCTTCTGCTTTTATAGTTCTTACGCAGTCAGTTGGCCACGACTGACTGGTCACAGCATGTGAAGGACATCTGGTAGTGACATCATGCTGGCTGGTCATAAGACTGACTGGTCGTGCCATGTGAGGGTCATCTCACAAGCATCAGGGATTTGTGGTCAGGTCACAAGCATAGTTTACAGCCCTAGAATTTCCTCGTGTCTCCCGTATAAGTACTGACCAAGTCAAAGTACTTTATTATTCCAAGCTCAGATTGGAGCTGCTATACAAATTAGAAAAGCTCCATGTTTTAAACACTGGAGCTTTCTACTGATAGATTCTGTATAAAATGTAGTTATAGCTTCAGTTTCTTGCTGAGTATGTGAATAATATTGATGAAATTTATTATGCATACATTTATATATATTTGTGCCAATAGCTTGACAAAATATTAGAAATCTAGGGCCTAATCAGGGCACAGCAGCCTAAAAAGACAAAGTGCACTGAGTTCTAGAGCAGTATGGTAAGCTGAGCACAATTCTGCTTTTTGAACAACCAACAAACATGACTAAAATAGAAGTCAGTGAAAGGATTGACTCCTCAGAACTGCCTTCTGGATAATTGACACGTTTGACTCCATACAGATTCCCTTTGTGAAGAAATTGCAAAATGGTGTTCTCCAGTAGAAATTGCAAAATGGCATTCTCCAGTAGATTTGAAAGGACTGGGGGCCTTAGGAATATCCATCTTGCCTAAGTCACTTTTGGCACGTTTCAAATTCACCTACTTCATCTCTTAATTACTTTAGGAAGTTGCTTATTACTGATTTCTTTGGAGTTAAGTTTCTGAATGGCACGTTGTACTCAGTGGTGGGATTCTGCCAGTTCTAGGGGGTTTGGCCGAACCCTTTGTTAAATTGCTGGCTCGCCCCGCCCCTTGCCCCACTCCTCCGCACTACTATTTATTGCCAATAAATGGGGCGAGCGAGCCAGCAATTTAACAAACAGTTCAGTGTTTTTTTGTAATTTATTGGTCCCGCAGCACACCGAACCGTTTGTTAAATTGCTGGCTCGCCTGCCCCTCGCCCCGTCCCGCCTCCCACCCACGCGGCGCCAGCCTACCCTAGCCAGGGGTAAGCAATTGTGGCTCTTTTACAACTGTGGACTTCAACTTCCAGAATTCCTGAGACAGCTTGGCTGTCTCAGGAATTCTGGGAGTTGAAGGCCACAGGTTGTAAAAGAGCTACAATTGCCCACCCCTTCCCTAGCCTGAGTTCCGCTGCCTGGGATCCACGTGGGCTGCCACGTGGTTCCCCACCGGCTCCGGACGCAAGAGTGCAGGATGGAGAAAGCAGCTTGCCGGAGAACACTTGAATGGCTCCATGTGGTCTGCAAGTCAGTGGCTGCTGCTTCTGTCCCCTGCTGCTTCTTGCCTGGGAGAGAAAAACTTCCAGAGCATTAAACTAGCGGTTCTCAACCTGGGGGTCGAACGGCCATTTCACAGGGGTCACCAAAGCCCTCTCTCACCCCCCCCCACACCTTCACTCACCCTCACTCTCTGCTCTGTTGGATCGCCGGCTGTTCGCTTACCCCGCCCACTCCCAATCTATTGCTGCCTCCGGAGTCCCAGCTGATGGCTAGAGGAAAAAAAACTGTTCAAATTCTTGCCGCGGGGCTTCAAAGGGCCGCCCTATAGCCAGTGGTGGGATTCTGCCAGTTCTAGGAGCTGAACCGTTTGTTAAATTGCTGGCTTGCCCCGCCCCTCCGCACCACTATTTATTGCCAATAAATAGTGCTGGGCGAGGGGCGGGCGAGCCAGCAATTTAACAAATGGTTCGGTGTTTTTTTGTAATTTTATTAGCCCGCGGAGCTTCAGCATAGGCTAATTAGCCCTTGCTTAGATCGGCTCCCACTCTCAGCTGATTTGCTCTCAGCTGTTTTGCTCAGGGCTCTGTTGCTTGCTCGAGCAGATTTTTTTTCTCCTAGCTATGCTGAAAAACAAAACTGAAACTGCTTTGCTGTTGCTGCAACGTTGGAAAATTAGGCAGAGGCAGATTTCTTTTCTTTTTCCTCACCAAAAAAGGTAGGTGCAAACAATGGGAAATTTAGGGAAAAAGAGGAGAGTTCAAGATTTTAAAACACAAAAGAAAAAAAGCTCTATTTAACTAGGGAATTGTAATAATTGAGATACTATTAATTGTATATTTCTGAAAGCAGAAATGGTTAAGTTGTGGTTTGGAGGAATATATAGAGGAAATTATTTGGTTTATTATTATTGGTAAATATAATTAATTGATTTGTAAGAAATTGGATTGCATGGAAATAATTGGAATATTCATGTTCATATTGATTAATATACAAAAAAGGTAGTTATATAACTAATTGATTTATATTAAAATGTTGAATTTGTATTAAACAACTAATATTACATAATTAACCAATGTGAGGATGGATATAAAAATATATGACAATGGGAAGGGGTATAATATAGAATAGAATGGAAAAATTGAATTTGATTAAGATTAAAGATGAGGATGAGGATATTGGTTTTTTACAAAAATAGATGAGGAATAAATATGGCAAAAAGAAATATAGAACTTGTAAATTTAATTGAAATGACTAAACACTGTTTAAATTTGTGAACCGGCCAAATACTCTGTTCAAAGAAAATACATTGTATGTTTGTATGTGTGTTTCTAATTATTGTTATTTATTCATATTTGTTCTCTTTTATTCTTTAAAGTTTAACAATTCATTCTTTATCTTAATATCTTTATATTTGTTTGGGGTTGGCTTTCTTCCCTTTCATCTTTTTTATTGTACAGCAATCTTTCTCCTCAAACCTACCACCTCTCTTTTCTTTCCTTCTTACTTTCTCTTCCTCCCCCTCTTCTTCTCCCTACTTCCTCTTCCTTTCTCCTTCTCCTCCTCTCTTCCTCCCTCTCTTACCCTCCCTCCTACTCTAATTTCCCTTCCCTTCCTTCATCCCTCTCTATTGCTGTATCCTTTTATGCATATGGACTACTCAGAGGGCTGAAAAAGTTATTTCTGACTGGTCCTTGCACTTTTGACCAGTCCTCAAACTTACGACTGTCCTCACATTTTACGGTTTTGCCCTATCTTGTCACCATGGTGAAGAGAAGCAGTTGTGAAATGAGTGACATGGTTGTTAAGAATGCTAGAATGGGCATAAATGATGACCAGTCATAAGTGTGAAGACTGATCAAAAGTGCGAGGACCTGTCAGAAATCACTTTTTTCAGCCCTCTGAGTAGTCCCTATGCACATAACCACGCCCACCCAGTCACATGACAAGCTAGCCACGCCTACACAGTCACGTGACCAGCTAGCCACACCCACCCAGTCACATGATTGCCAAGCCACACACCCCCAACTAAGCCACGCCCACAGAACCTGTTGTTAAAAAAATTGAATCCCACCACTGGTTGTACTATATCGGGAGATTTTATTTCTATCATAGATGAAAGAAGCTCTGAATAAATGCAAAGATTAACAAAAGAAGCTTTAATTTTTGGAATACAGCAAAAGGGAACAAAATGTCAATTTTGGACGTTTAAGGGCTAGATGGACTTGAAAGAATATTCCTTTGTGATGCTTAAAATTTTATAAAACACTAGATGAAATCTTTGAAAGTAATTGTTAGAAAATTTCCCATGGGAAACTTGGTTGATTGGAAAATAAACAGATGATAAGAAGGGATTTGAGAGAACAATTAATATAATGAAGAAACACTGTAGAACAAATAGACTTTAGGGGAATAATTTACTAAAAAATTATTATGTTTTTTGTTTCTGTTTTTCAGAAATTGTACCAATGTGGATGGCCTTTTTAATATCTTCCACAGCAACTAGTATTTTTCTTGGGACAATTTGGATGTAAGAAACTTATTCTATTTTGAATGTTGATAAACATCTTAAATGTTATCAGTATAACCTCTGCATTGTTTCAGCAGCTAAAGAAAGCCAGTTTTATTGAACTGAATTTGGTAAATTGAATTCAGTAAATGCAATCCATGAAACTATGTAAAAGCAGATAGTAATTTTCTATTTAATTCCCACGTCTAGAATTTTATACCATTTCATCATCCACAATTTAAGAACATTTATGTAGCAAGCTGAGTGATAGAAAGTTTCCTATTACAGATAGTCCTTACTTAACAACCAAAGTTTCTGTTGTTAAGCAAGACATTTGTTAAGTGAAATTTTGCCTCATTTTATGACTTTTCTTGCAAGCAGTTATTAAGTGAGTCATTCCAGTTGCTCAATTGATAACATGGTTGTTAAGTGAATCTGGCTTTCCCACTGACTGCTTGACAGAAGTTGCAAAATGTGATCACATGATCCAGGGAAAATGCAACTGTCTTAATATGAGTCAGTTGCCAAGCATCTAAATTTTGATCATGTGACCATGGGGATGCTGCAACGATAGCAAGTTATAGCAAAATTGCTGTAAGTTACTTTTTTTCTAGTTGCCATGTAGTGGCTGCAGTGCTTTTTGGCTGGAATTGATAGGATTAGTTGGAAGTAGGCAGTGTCATCTTTGTGGTGCAAATTGCCTACTTTATGTACTCCTAATACCTCACAGATTCCATCAAATTTTATCAAGCCCAGGGTATCAAATAAAAAACATATATACCTGCTCTGCATTCTGGAAATATTTTGGGACGCAAATGTGATACACAATAATAATTCTAACTCCTCTTCATATAAGGAGTACAAATGAAAGCTTGTAATCCTGATGAATCTGATAATTAAAAATAAAAAATAGGCATCCAGCTTAATACTGATCATTACCTCTATGACTATATATCCGTGTTTTACCCATGAGTTTTGCCATGCTGTATGAATACAAATGGTAAAAATAAAAACAGAAAAGCCCAGCTAACCCAAGAAAAGTAGTTCTATGCAAGTGCAAAAACCCTTTTTGACTGAATTGTTTGACTGCTGCTTAGAAACTTCTCTTTGGATAGCTGAATCTCTATACAATTGCATTCAGTACCGTTATTCATAAATTGGCTATATAGCAATATTTATACCAAAGCGTTACCTATAGTTAATTTCATCATCGATTCAATTTTCTTGGCTGACAGTTTTATGTAACACATTAAACTAAAAGGTGGTTGGCTGGCTTGTGGTTCAGTTTGAAAAGAACCATATAGATGGTTTATCTATTTTCTGTATTTATTTTGGCTTATTTCATCCTGTTTCATATGTACATACATTCATACACATCAGGGGTGTATTCTACTTACCTTTACTACCGGTTCACATCGTGCTCGCACATGCGCTCTTCTGCGCATGCGCAGATCACTATGATGACGTCCGGATCAGTGGGTGGAGCCTCCCGCCAGTTTTACCACCAGTTCTTGCAAACCGGTCCAAACTGGGGGCAACCCACCACTGATACACATACATATAAAACAGAGACAGAAAATACTATTAAAGACAAAACAGAACCTCCTGCCACTTCCATAGAAATAGTATCCCCAATACAAGGCAGACCAGATTAAAAAAATCAATGTCGTATAGGCAAAATATCACTTATATTGGTAAACTAAAAAATGTGGGATAGACAGCATCATCACCAGATCGATTTGTACCTTGTTGATAAACCATACTCAACATGTATTTCTTAGTGGAACTACATCTACACGGAGGGAAGTAAAAGGTGGGGTATTGGCATTTTAGGACCAGTATTCTTCAACATTTTCATAAATGATTTAGATAAAGGAATAAAAGGGGAACTCATCAAATCTGTAGATTACACTACACTGGCAGGAATCGCCAACATCCCAGAAGATAGGCTCAAAATCCAGATGGATCTTGACAAACTTGAACACGGGGCCCAAAATGAAATTCAATGTAGGTTTTACACTTAGACAAGAAAACCAAATGTACAGGTACAGGCTAGGTGAAACCTGGCTCAATAGCAGTAACTGTGAGAAGGATCTTGGAATGCTAATGGAAGTTAAATATGAGCCACTAGTGTGTGGTAACATCTACATGGTAACAGCCAAAAAGGACAATGAAATCTTAAGTTGCATTAACAGAGGGATAGAATCAAGACCATGTAAAGTACTAGTATTGCTTTATAAAGTCTTAATAAGACCACACTTAGAATACTGTATCCAGTTTTGGTAAACATATTATAAAAAAATGTTGAGTCTCTGGAAAGAGTGCAGAAAAGGGCAACAAAGATCATTAGAGATGTCTTAGCTGGAGGCTAAGACATATGAAGAACGATCGCAGGAATTGGATATATCTGTTCTAGTGCAAAGAAGGACTAGAGGCAACATGATAGCAGTGTTCCAATATTTGAGGGGCTGCCACAAAGAGGGAAATCTATTTTCCAAAGCATCAGAAGGCAAGACCAAAAAAAATGAATGGAAACTAATTAAGGAAAGAAGCAATCTAGAACTAAAGAGAAATTTCCTGTCAGCGAGAACAATCAACCAGTGAAATGGCTTCCTTTCCTTCAGAAGGTCTGGGTGTGGGTGCTCCATCACTGGAAGCTTTTAAAAGAAGACGGGACAGCCACCTGCCTGAAATGGTATAGGGTCACCTGCATGAGCAAGGGTTTGAACTAGGAGATTTCCAAGGTCCCTTCCAATTCTATTATTCCTAAAGCCCCAGTCATTCCCCCCCCGCCACAATAATAATCGTTGTTGGTTTTCCATAAAATTGGAATAAAGCCATAGGGAAAAAAGTATGGCATACGAGACTTTAAACATATAATTATTATTATTTCTATTTTATCTTCTTAAGTCTTCTGGTCTTAATGTTTTTAAGCTGCTCAGAGTTGCCTCCGAACAAGATGGTTGGCACATTAATCAACTAATCAATCAATCCATCCAAACATCCATTCATCCAATAAATAAATAGAACAGGGTTTACACAATCAATGCCAAACTACAATTTTGCAAATATTAAGTGGTATCAGGTTCCATGCTATATTTCAGTACACTGTTTTTATCTTTCTATCTAATTTCAAATCAAATTATATGGCCTGGCTTTATATGAATAGTTCATCAATTTTCATTTATAATTCTAACTTTTTTCTATATAATTCTTACAGGATCATAATCAATTGCTGCAAAAAAACAATAGCAGTTCAATACATAAAAGAAGCAGAATCTCATCTTAAAAGGAGATTGCAAGTATTTGCCAACATTGCAAGTGATACAGAAATTCAAGAACAAAGAAATAAATTAAGTCCAATCAAACAACAAAGAAATAAGAAAATAATTTTAGAAGAAGAATCTATAGGATTACTAAGCAATGGTGAAATAACAGAAGCATCCACAGATGATACAAGTCTATCTCCAGATCAAATGGGACCAGGGGAATTTGAAATTAATTTTGGAAAGAAGTCATCAATCACTTTGGAAAACAACAATAATTTCTTTACAAATGCTCCAGAATACACCCAGCAGAGCTTAATTAATATAATGAAGCATAAACAATCCTAGCTGCTGTGATATCAGCCATTGGCAGGATTTTATTTTAAAAAGTACTTTGAAATGAATTATGTTACTTAAAAGTGTTAAATTAAAACTTTGAACATATATTTAAAAATGGCAAATTAACCAGATTAAATATGAAATTGTTATGGAACATTAGATCTTTTTTGAAAAGAAATTATCCAATCAAAATCTGAACTAAGATTTTCTTTAAGCCCTATGGAAAAAAGAAATGGCACACAAATGAAAGTATAATTTGTGAAGTCTTATGCTGTACTGTGAATTAAATCTGATGAGAAACTGAAAAATATCAAATTTATTTTTTCTAAATATTAAGTAGAAGCAATGTATTTTGCAGTATGTAATACTAAAAAATACTAAAAGTGCATGGACTCATTCAACTGTATCAGTAAGCCCAGATGGGGTCAAAGTTAAGTAGGTTTGTCAGGTTACAGAATCAGATGGTGGGCCAAAAGAGCTAAGAATTTTAAAAACACATTTCTGGTTCTGTAACCTGACAAACTTGCTTATCTATCATTCACTGTTAATAAGTAAAGACAAAAGCTTAGAACAGAATCCATTAAATGCTTTTTTAAGAAAAAGGTTGCTCTTAGAATATTTTGTCAATTTTAAACATTTCTAATTTCAAATTATCCAACTGTTTTTCTAATTTACTGAGTTATATTGTTCTATAAATGCAGCATGTTTCATATATAGAATTTTCAATCCTGATGGGATCTCATGCAGTGAGTTTTCTTCACTGCAGCTGCCCAAAATTCAGACATTTCAGAAAAAAAACATGGTTATGTTGCAGTTCTGTGCACTCTGAGAATGTGTGACAATATTGGAAAAGATGCATATGATTATTATTCAGGAAAAGAACAAAACCATCAATATAAAAGTGTACCATGTTTATGAAATTATACATTTGTAAATGAGGCATAAGATATAAAAATATTTTATTAAAATAAAAGCTTTGATATTACATTGCAAAGACTTCTTATTTATAAGAATCAAAATAAGATAATAGCCACAAATTATTGCTAACAGAAATGCTAAAATAGTTTTTGGTTTTTTTTTAATATTTAACAATTTGGCACAGATGGTGCTATCCATACATACTTCAAAATGACTTCTAATAATACTGATAACAAAATATTAGAAAAGATCAGGTGCACAAAAAGTGTAAGAGTATAATCCAGTAGATTATAATGTAGTAAATCTCTATTTAGCACCTGAAGAGCTTCTGTTTATGATTTGTATAAAAACTTTCCTCTAGGATTTTGTCCTCTGATTTAAAATACATACTTTGCATAAAACAGAAGTGTAATGGAATAAAATCTTTACCTAAGTATCTAATATAATATACAAATACTGCATTATTTTGAGTGACATTCACAAATATTTTAATCTATCATTTTCAAAGAAAGTCGGTGTAAACAATATTTATTATTCAAGCTGCAGCTTTTATATACTTTAAATACAAAGAAAACTAGTTTAAAACATGACTGATAATGGGACAACAGCAAATCCTTCTGTGCACGAATAATTTTACTTCACATTCTTTGCAGAACAAGGCTCATGGCTATATTCTTCATTATATATTTACTTCCAGGAATATGATTCTAGGATTCTACATGAAAATGTATTCATTTTTGGTACATTTATTTAGTAGAAGCAGCAGCAATATTCATCAAAAATTAATTTTTAAAATGGATATTCTGAATAATATACCTCTAAACCAGGGCAGTGTTATTTCCATTGCACTGAGGGGTGCATGTGACATCCAGCTGTACCTTTTGCACCCCTTCTCCAAAGTAATATAAAAATAATTTCTTAACTTTATAAAATATGTTTCAACTGTGAAAATTATACACAAAATACATAAGTATGCAAACACCTATTTCATCTTCAAAGAAAATGAAAACAATTATTTTAATCCAACTTTGCTTCTACAATAAGCTGTTGGTATATGCAAAGTGGATGGTTCACATACACAAAACTATGCCCTGGATTAATCTTTCTTATATATAGATCATTTGACCTATATGCATGGGTAAAAAATAGAAATTGGCATGGACATAAACACTATGGTATCCTTGCATAGCACAGAGAAAAACATATACTTTCATAATATAAGGAAAGCATATGTTATTTGGCATCTATATTTTTAATTTTTCCATCACAGTTCTAATTCTGCTTAGTAACTTTCTTTGGATAAGCTAGGTTTAGAATTATTACATAAGGCGGGAGAGGGGGATGGTAAAAATGCAACTGAGCATGTGGTTAATAAAAAAAGTAATGCTTCCAAAAAAATTGCCTATCTTATACTGACATTTGGGTGCTAGGGTGCTGTTTAAGGCTTGTGACAGAAGAAAACTGAAAAATATATGCTAGAGTTATATCTGTTAATGAGTGTAAATATACACTCATTTAATATGTCCTGTTAATATTGTGAGCTTAAAATATCCAACAGCATTTAATAATTTACTGATTTAATTTGTATCTTGCTTTGCCACTAAAATTATATGCATTAAGGCATCTAATGACCAAACATGGTTAAAACATTAAAACTATAATTTTAAAAAATAATGGAACACACCCATATGAAATTACAAGACCCACAATAACAGCAAGCTATCTGACTAAAAATTTTTTCCATTTACAGAGGCCTGAAGCCAGTTTAACGTCCCTTGCCAGGACATTCAAAAACCTTACAGTAGATATTTCCAAACAAGCCTGACTGAACAAGGCTAAAAGAAATGAGTGTGTGTACAGAAGCACCACAGTGATATTTTATGCTATCTTCATCACTGAAAAAAATTGTAATATTCAGGACTTGGTTATATTGTACAGCACTGTTTACTTGCTATTTTACAGTATATTAAAAATTAATTTAATGCCAAATAATAATCCAATTTTGTAATTAAAATGCCACAGCTGGAATTCTGTGAAGCAATCCTTGTGCACCTACAAGTTAGTCCACAGACTATGACATTGTTACTTCACTAGATTTGAATGTCTTTCGCAAAATAAATATTAAAGTCTACTTGAATATTTTTTTTACTATGTATTGATAGCTAAAAAAATTAGCACAAGGTTCCAAAAGACCAAATAGTCTGCTAATATAACTTGGCTACGGGAAGAAGACATCTTGAATGAAACTTCCACCTGGGCTGCAATAAGCGCTGAGAGAGGTACATGTGATGCTAAAGCAGGACTGTCAGAGTTGATCAGTGATTCTATCTTTTCTGCTTCTTTATTGCATGCTTCAATCTAGGAAAACATAATACTGAATTTAGTGAATAATAAAAAGGAGAGCATTATGGAAAATAAGCAACTTTTGGCATTATCGTCTAATCTTTTCAGAGTGCTTCTTTCATGTAATAGAAAATAAGATCAAAATTATCTTTTTATAAATTCAATAAGAAAGGTTTCCCTTCCCTCTGCCTTTTAGTGGCTCTGTTTGCAAGCCTTCTTGACCAGGTCAGCTTGTCAGCCCCTGGGTTGCCAGCCGCATGGGGCTGCCATTCGGGCGGGGAAGGAGAGCCGCCAACTGGGACACACATCCACGCCCACCAAAGACCACAGTCACCAAATGCCTGCCAAACACCCGTAAGTCACAGCTGGGCCAAGAAGAGAGCGTAAACGCCACGGGCCCCCTGCCAAGCTGCGGGAAAGGCACGCACATCCCTGAAAAGCATCTACTTTAGTAAATTTAGTAGTTTAGTAAAATTAAATGCAAAAAAATTAATATATTACCTGAAGAGGCTTAGGATTCTGATCAACGGGAATGATAAGAATTATAAGTTCAGACTCTATGCTGAAGTATCCAAAAACATCACACTGTGGTACAGAAACATGGAGACGGATCTTTTGAAGTATTTCAAGGACTGTGATTGGCTTTTGGTTGGTTATCTACAAAAAATCCCCACAAATATTTTAAAATTTATAATGTTTTACAAAATTGTGTTTTTCCAGTATCCCTAATATAAAAGTACAGTACACATATTTTATAGCAGGTGAATTACTTTCTGTAAAATAGATATCCTCATAAAATAACATGAGCACTTTTGAACTTTGGCTGTGCTTTTGGTATACTTGACCAACAGTGTAAAATATGACTGGAATTGTCCTTACCATTAGCAGAGAATGTTACATATGATGTAAGTTCAGAGCCCATCCCTTTCTTATTTATATGAAAAGCCTCACTTGGTCAAAGCCATGATGAAATTCATAATCCCATCAGAAGACAACAGTGATTCATGTATGAGGGGCACATAATATGGATTTTGTAACTTGTTAATTAAATTAGTTAAATTTTAATTTAACTTACTTCTCTCTTTTATGAGGATTTATCAAACTACTATAGACTGAAATGTAGGAAAACTGTTTATCTTGTCATTGTATGGATTGAGTGATAGCTTCTAATTCCTAACTGAAAAGATAAACTACAGAAGAATGGTTGGATACTATTTCCTGATAAGAAAAAGTTTGTTAGTGCAAAACTGCCATCTGGTATGTCTCTTCGTGAAATTCAAACAACCTTTGTAGTTAATTTACTGTGCAAAGGAGGTTACTTTTATCCTGTCCAATCAACTTCCCTCTTGCATTTTCTTTGTTGTGTTAGCTATAAAAGGGAATATAAATTCTATCTTGATGTTCTCCCTTTTCATAGGGAGATCCCACTTTATCCAGGTACTAGTTATCAGCTAAGCACATCAGGAACCTATTTAATCTCTCATTTACTGCAGAGTTTGTTACAAAGTAGATGTCAGGGTAGCTAAAGTCCCCCATTACTACAGTGGTGTGTTTCCTGCACTCCTCAGATGATTAGCAAAGAATTCATTTATTTTCTCTACTTAGTTGGGTGCATCTGGTATATACTTATTGAAAGAGCCTTGATAGTACAGTGGTCTAAGCACCCTGTTATTAACACAGCTGCCTGCAATTACTGCTGGTTCGAATCTCTCCAAGGCTCAAGGTTGACTCAGCCTTCCATCCTTTCTAAGGTAGGTGAAATGAGGATCCAGTTTGTGGGGGCAATAAGCTGACTTTGTATAAATATACAAAAGTATGAAGGCTATTGCTTAACGCATTGTAAGCCGCCCTGAGTCTCCGGAGAAGGGCGGCATATAAATCAAATTAAATATATATATATATCATTCCTTTTTCCTCTATAACAGAATAACATAGTTGAAAGGGACCTTTCAGTCTTCTAGTCCAACCCCTGGTCAAGCAAGAGAGACTATACTACCAACAATTGGCAGTCCATTTTCTTCTTAAAAACCTTCAGTGATGAAGCACCCACAACCTTAAGAGGCAAGCCATTCCACTGATTTATTGTTCTCATTGACAGGAAACTTCTCCTTAATTCTAGGTTGGATATCTCTTTGATAAGTTTCCAACTATTACTTCTTGTTCTGCCCTCAAGTGTTTTGGAGAATAGATCGACCCCTTCTTCTCTGTGACAGTCCTTCAAACAAGGAAGACTGCTTTCATATCACCCTCAATACTTCCCTTCATTAAATTAGACATACTCAAATCCCGCATTCATTCATTGTATGCTTTAGCTTCCAATCCCCTAATTATTTTTGTTGTTCTTCTCTGCATTTTCTATAGTCCCAACATCTTTTTGTACTGTGGTGACCAAAACTGGATGCAGTGTTCCAAGTGTGGGCTCACCAGTGCAGTATAAAGACGTACTACATTTCATGTGACCTTTCCCGTTTGCTCATAGTTTCTTGATATTGTTCTTGGCTTTGGGTTGCATCATTCATCTCAACATGAAACATGGGAAAGCAATAATAACTGGTGGGCTTGATTATTTTGGTAAGTCATTCTGTCACATCTTTGTTCCTTTCATTGGGAATTGGGAAATTCCAGTTCCAATTAGGATTGTTAAGCAAGGGCTCTTTTACATTTTTCTCAGGTTTGACAGGGCTTGTAAATCAAGTTTATAACTTCCCACACCCTTTTTGTATT